CCTGCAGGTGCCTCAGGGGCCCCTCCCTAGTCTGGCTGCCTGCAGAAGGCGGAGACCACCTGCACCCTCAGGCGCTTCTGGTGTAATTGCTGCCTGCCCAGCAGTGTCTCCTAGCTGCATCCTCTGGTGGCAGACCTTGGATGGGCTTCTGGGCATGAGGTCTAGAGCAAAACCATTCAAAAAGAGCCACCTTTGGTCCAGACAGGCTCAGTTCAGGCCTCGGCGCAGAGTTCCCAGGGGCTTGTGGCTGGTTACTAGGATTCTGGGAGGAGTCCTGGTGCCCTCCTCTTAACATGGCAGAGGAGCCCAGATGTTGCACGTGTTCCCATGACTTGGGTCCCTGGGTGCCCAGTGTTGGCTACACCCTCTGCCACCAGTCCCTCGGCTCACTTGGAAAGAAGCTCACCCCACTGCCAGCTTCTAGGTAGTCTTAGTTTCATGTGTGACTCTCTCACTGGTCAGTTCATACTGAACTGAGAGGGGGAAGATGGTGCATCTGAGGGTTGGGCCCCGAGGGTGCACAGCACTGCCGTGTAGAACACACTGTGTCTCCCTGTGCTGGGTGGACATTGCACTTTGTCGACATGCTCAGGGGTAAGGAGTCACCCCAGGCGTGAGCTCCCCAAGCAGAGCCCTCCTAGATCGAGGGAGGCTTTTGTGGATTTGAAGCTTTGCTCTGCTTTTGAGCACCCGTGGGTCTGCACACTGGCACTTGCTAGCAGCTGGAAGCAGACAGCTGGCCAGGAGCCCTCCAGGACTTTTGCAGCCTGTAGACGCTGATGGCCAACTGTCCTACTGCAGCACCGAGTTCCTGGCACAAACTCTTGTCTGCACTTCCACACTGGGGACACCTGAGCAGGTGTGAGCCAAGCTGTCACGGGTGGTGCCTGGAAAACAGAGCAGTCAGAGAACTCTGGCAGCGCAGCTTCAGACCCTCTGTGCAGATGCCCGGGAGCAGAGGCTGACCCCGAGTGAACTGCTTCCTGGGCCACTCTTCAGACCTGGCCAAGGCTGTCATCCCATGCTTTCCCATCTCTCCCCAGTTAGACAAATGAAAAGGACAAGAGCCAAAACGTGGCCCCGCAGATCTTAGTTGAAGTGTCCTCGCTGGGTGGTCAGCCAGGCCTGACCTCAGCCGCAGCGCTCCCTTAGCAAAGGCTGCCGAGGTCCTCACCTCATTCTCTCATCTCTTCTGAGCCAAGACCAGAGCCGTCACTGCCTCGGGGTCCTCCTCGGCCGTGTAGACCCAGGAGCGTGGTGTCTGCACACTGCTATCTCCTTGTGGATGTCACCTGTCAGTCTTTTTCTGGCTAGGCTGATTTTTTTTTCCTCTTGCCTGGTGCTGGGGATGGAACACAGGGCTGTGTGCGTGCTCCGGATCCTGGCAAGGGAGGGGACAGCAGCCCAAGTAGCCTCCTTAGGCGCAGAGCCTGATGTGTCCCCTCTGAGGATCTGCGTGCAGATGAGCATTTACGTTAAGAGTCTATCCTGGTCTCTCTGCCATTGCTGTGACAGGTAGAAGTACCATGTAAGGAGAGAGTCTTTGGCGCTTGGTGAATGCAGATGGTGACAAGGCTCAAAGGCCCATCTGTGGTGGGATTGTGTAGCAGCTCAGAACTAAAAAAAAGAAAACTTTCCTCTTGGAAGTGTGGCGAGAAACTTAACACGTTAATATCAGTCCCTAACATGGAGCCGTTTCCTTGCCCGTGTAGTTCCACGTACTGTAGCTTTTGGTATATTGTTCTGGTGCCGGGGATTGAACCCAGGTGCTCTACCACTGAGCTACATCTCTAGCCCTTTATTTTTGAGTCAGGGTCTTGCTGAGGTGCTAAGGCTGTCCTCAAATTGTGATCCTCCTGCCTCTGCTCCTGGGTCCTTGGGATGACAGGCGTGTGCCCCTGTGTGGGGCTGAGGGTCTTTTTCTGACGAGGTGCTGATTTTGTATGGCTCCCAATTCAAGCAGAGCAGCTTTCCCCACCTGGTGGTGGCCCCGGTTCCTCTAGGGTTCCTCTACCGCACATCCCGCCAGAGACCAAGACAGAGCCGGGAAGCGCTCGCTCGCTCAGGAGAGCCGTGCCGAGCCTGCAAGGCACGTGCCCGCTGCGGCTGGGAAGCATCTGCCTTTCCTGCTGCTGGAACGTCGCCTCTGGCTTCTCTAGGTGATAATAGAAAGATACAAGGGTGAGAAGCAGCTGCCGGTGCTGGACAAGACCAAGTTCCTCGTGCCCGACCACGTCAACATGAGCGAGCTCATCAAGATAATCAGGTACTGCTGCTTTCTTTGTCTCATACTCCTTGAGTGGCTGTGTCCACTTTTGGTTCTGCCAGCCTAACGAAACCACTGAGTTCTTCCCTGTTTCTCAGGTGGGCCACCTTGGGTCCCTTCTGATCCGTCCATAGCATCTAGTACAGATGTTGTTTCTTTAAAATGTCATAGTTACTAAAGTTGGGTTCAGCAGATGACTAAAACAAATGTCGACACAGTCATCTGTACGGGCTTACATCCGTTTTTCTCAGGGCTGTGTGGACGGCATGCCAGTTGAAAACTGCCCTTGGCCTTGTGGTAAAGATGGCCCGGCAGTGATCACGGCTCATCCCGCCTTCGGTGGGGTGCAGGGGATGGCACCCAGCGTGGCATCCTGGTGCCCACCAGCCTGCTCCTCACGCTGCAGGGTGGGGAGAGTGCTCAGGAAGGGCCAGCTGGTCTGCGAGGGGGGTGCTGGTCCTACTCAGCTAGACGCAGCAACCGCGAGCTCTTCCATCTGCGCTTCTGTGGTGTGAAGGTCCCCGTGAAGGCTGGCGTCCCCTCTTCACGTGGCTTTCTTTCAATAGGAGGCGCCTGCAGCTCAACGCAAACCAGGCCTTCTTCCTCTTGGTGAACGGCCACAGCATGGTGAGCGTGTCCACACCCGTGTCGGAGGTGTACGAGAGGGAGAAGGACGAGGACGGCTTCCTGTACATGGTGTACGCCTCCCAGGAGACGTTCGGGAGCGGGTTGGCCGAGTAGACCAGGACCCTGCGTCCAGCTTTCCAAGCCCTTGCCAAGGAGAAAAAGGGATGTCGCCAACTGAGACTCGTGAGCTCACCCAGTCACAGGCCATGGGGCACTTGTGTTCCACCTGGGAGCTTTAGGGGTTGTTTTTGTATTTCAAGCAGAAAAACGGAGCTCCAAGTGAGCACACTCAGCTTTGGGAACCTCATTATTTAACCTAGGCATCTTGTCTTCAAATTTTAGATGTTTAAAAATAAAATACTTTGCATCCTAAGTTGCCAATAAAATAGACCTCCAAGTTATTTTAATGCTCTTCTGTCCCCAGTAGGAACGGGCAGGGCATTCAGGTTGCCCCGTCTCTCCAGGTCCTACAAGGGTTTCCGCTCAGCTAGAGCAGTCTCCCTAAGGGGACTCTGCACGGGCCCCAAATGCCTTTGCTTTCACAGAACAGGGCCAAGGGAGCTGTGCAGAAAGCACGGATGCACAAGGCTCAAGGTTCCCGTGTCCCAGCTGCAGCATGCCAAGAGTCCACACCCCCGTCCGAGCCAGAAAGTTCCCTGGTCTCCTCTCTGCTTAGTCAACACAGGAAGTCACCACTGCTCAGTAGGAAATGGGCCCGGAACTGAACTGTAGATCTAGTTTCTTAAAGCCTGTAGAGTAAAGGGGCATTTTTTTTCTATTTTGGGTTGTCCCTGTTCTGAGACCTGACTGGTGCTTGCTTTGTAAGTGACCAGCAGTGTGACCGCAGCATGCCCACCGCCCTTAGGACACAGTAGAAACCAGAGTGGTGGCCAAACAGGACTGGCACTCAGAGGTGATCCTTTGCCTTTTGGCTTAAAGCCACAGATAACCTTTTTCATGGTTAAGTGTGTAATTAAAACGTAATTAGAAGTTGTCAAATCCCATTAGGGTTCCCTCACTCTACTTGCATGTCCAGTGGGAAGCAACCCTCCAGATCCAAGCCCCTAGCTCTTCTGGCTGCCTGCGTGGGGCTGTCTCCCTTCCCTTCATCAGGTCACAGGCACCCTTGTGCCTGGAGTAACCCAGCAAGAACTGCACCAGCAGGAGGAAAGGCCCAGGGCCGCGCCCGCTGCCTGGGCTCCTGGTCACGGGACCCCACCCACTCCCTGCTGCATTGTCTATTTTTACATGATGAAAATTCTCAAAGCCTGTTGTTCCCATCGTATCCACCACTGTACCTGGGATTCTCGGGACTACTGTGTGAGCAGTCAGATGTCTCTAATGCTGCTTTAAAAAAAAAAAAAAAACATGCTCAGAGGCAACCTTTGTTCTGGGGTCTGTAAGCAGATGCATTTCCAGGCATTGAGTGAATAAAGGTAACTGTCATCAACGCTCAGGTCCGTGGGTCTGTCTGGGAACCCGATCGCATGCAGTCAGCACCTTGCGCTGAGAAGCATGGGAGTGCTGATGGAGGGACGCCTCCTGCGGCTTCTGTGTCTCTGGTCAGGGCCTGTCGCTGGAGAACCTGGGGTGGGCCTGCATCAAGAGGAGGCGGCGGGGGCGGGGGGGTGTCTGTGGGAACAAACACCAGGCAGCATAGACTGGCCCAGCACTGTGGGCAGCTGCTGGCCCCTAGGCAGCTCTCCTCTCAGACAAACAGTGGCCACCATTCTTAAGAACTCTGCCCCAGGTCAAGGGTCCGTGCAGGGAGAGTACCTTGGTCCGCTCTGGCCGCTGCCATGGCCAGAGGGGCCTCCCAGGTGCTCTTTCCATGGACAGCCAGTGGGCGCCAGGCAGCCCCTCCAGCAGGACTTCAACCAGGGGCAGCGCTTGAATATGGGTGGACATGAGTGAGACCCAGTGTCCACGTTGTCACTCTGGGAAAGAGATGGAGAGCCCTGGGGTGGACTGAGCTGTCTGAAAGGATGTGTGTGCTGTGTGCTAGGATAAGAGACCCGATACAACTGCTGAGACTTTTTTTAAATTTTTATTTTCAGTACATTAAATTTACTCATAAAAACATTCTAAAAATGTACAATTTTTCCTTTTTAACAAAGTATAATAAAACATAAAAACCCCAAAAACAGAATACTTGACATTTACAATTCAAAATCAAATTAGCGGAATATTAAATATTTACAAAACTATATCTTTTAAAAATATTTATAAAGTTACATGCAATTTTGTAGAATTGACAAAAGAATGGCTCAAAAATGGGAGATATTCCTTCATTCCTAAAAAGAAAGCATGTCCAATAGAAGCTGCGGAGGTTTCAGTCTCGGCACCAACGCCTCATCTCTGCGCACAGGAGGAATGACCCGTGTGGCCACCGTTCCCTCCCCGTGTGAGCAGGGTGGTGGCCGGCCTTGTGGCCTTCACCAGCACAGTAGGTGGTTTTCTGGAGTATTGCAAGAGCGGACCAGAGACCTCGCTCAGCCTGGGACTGTCCAGCATCAGCCTCCTCAGACCCATGGCTTTCAGTGTCACCTGACATGTTCCTTGGAAGTCACCTGCATTTCAGGAAGCACAGCCAGCTGCTCAGGTTCCACAGGAGCATCCTTAGGGACGAGGCTGAGCAGGGAGACGGTTCCCTCATGGCCGGCATTTACCTGGAGGTGGACTAGATCAGACAACACCGGGAAGTGGCGAAGGACGGGAGGGGTGCGGAGAGGGCCCGGCGGCCTGTGCCCACAAGGAGCACCACCAGGGCCCGATGGCAGAGAGGGCAGGCACGCTCCACCCTGAATGAAGACAGGCCCCAGCTGCGGTGTGGACATGCTGGCCTGTTAACACCCAGTCACTTGTGCGCTCAAGAGAATGCTCTGTCTTAATTGTCATTTTAAGTGCTAGCTCCCATTTCCTCAGTGCTCTTCAGCAATTAGGAGTTTAACGTTAAACACTTTCCAATTTTCCATATTACTGTGAAATAAAAATTAGAAAACAAGGTATAAAATCGAGTATTTTGCTTTAAAAAAAGAAAGGTTAAACAGTTCTATCCTGGCACTGTTCTACTTGGATCTGGACATTCCACTGTCTCCATTCCTGGAGCTAAAACGCAGGGATAGAAGCTTGAACACGTGGCAGGCTCCGAAGAGCACAGGGCCACGCTCGCCCACCCGGTTGGGGCACCGGTTTCGGCAGGGTGGCTCCAGAGGGCCAGGATGCTGTGGTTTCGACCGATGGTGGAGTACTCCGGTGAAGTGCAAGGTGCTCTTCGGGCTTACTGACTTTGGTTGCTTTGGAGAAAGATTCATCAGCCAGCGGTAACTGCTAGCCAAGGTCCTCGTGTCCAAGCACGGCTGCACCTGGCACGGGCCTGTGGGTGGGCGGGATTCCCTCTGCGCGCTGCTCTCATGCTGGGTCTCCTGGTTCCTGACTGCGCAGCCTCCTGACGACCTCACACCACACACTCACCTTCAAAGACAACCGGGGTGCTCCGAGGCGGGGACCCAGCCATGGCAAGGTCAGGACTGACGCACCGCACACTGAGTGTCACACTTCAGACGGAAGCTTCTATTCTAAGTTTTTGTTACATTGGGGTTAACCTGTAATATTTATCAAAACAGTCCTAAGGGTAACAATGACACTTTCATTCCACTACACTGACACTAAAACAAAAACTTAAATAAGGTTTTCTTTTGCTATGAGACAGTTTTCAACAATTTCACTATGTTGAAATAGGATTTATTTAAAATATTTCTTTGTTTAAAAAACCAAAAAATTTAAAAGTTTGGCTTTCAGCACATATCCAGGCCGCTGTGACGGCCTTCAGAAGTATTAAAATCGTAAACATCGATGAACACTCTAGTCTTCTTGAACACAACAGGACCAACTCCAGTCTGGTGCTCTTTAAGGCAAAGTTGTGTCAGCTCTTGATATTTGATGTTTGTAGTGTTGGGCTAAGAGATCTGTGAAGCCTTCCCTAACAGCTGTCATAAGAGGCATCACCGTTACTTCCAGAACTGTATGTAATACTGTGTACCATGAATAGAGAAGAATACAGAGGTCTGTCAATTCTGCATTGCATAGAAATAAAACTCTACTAAAATAATACTACAAAACTACTAAAAGCCTTTCATAAAAAATGTAACAACTTTCTGCTTTAGTTTCCACAAAGCCAGGAAACTGATCTAAAATTTGAAGCCTCATACTCAAATGCCTTACATTCTAGGGCATTCTTTTGATTTACACTAATTTTGTATGAAGCTGATTGTCCCATTTCAATACAGAATGGTCTGAATATTGTGATTTTTCTTCTCAGTATTCAACTGGAAAATCCCTGGCAAGACTCTGCCGACCAACGTTACTATTGAAGGTTAAATAATGTCACATGAGCAGAAGATTCCCTTTATCCTCGAGGGCTAAGTCCCCAGATGCTTCCATTCCAAAGGGCTGAGATGTGGACATCTATAGCAAGGGGCGCTATTTCCTACTTAAAACAGGACTTCTCCCAGTCCCAGGCTGCGTCTGGTCTGTGCTCTCTCTGTCTCTCTGCCTTATACTGAAGTTTTCCAGGCAATTTTTAACGGAATTAGCTATCAATACACAGCCTTAAAAAAAAAATTTAAAAAAAAAAAAAGTGACAGGAGAGGTCAGATCTTCTGCTCATGAGCCATAGGACTGGACTGCTGTTGCAAGGTCCCACTGAGTGTGCACACATCAGCAGGAAGCCCTGGGGCCGGGTCCTTGGAGCCCATGTGAGATGGTGACGATGAGCAAGTGGAGTTGGGAACGCGACCCACAGAGCCGAGCTGCTCTGCTGCTGTCTCTGTGGAGAGCGGTTCGGAGCCGCCTGCGGTGCGGTGGAGAGGGCCAGTCTCAAGCCTCAGCAACGACTCCTGGGACTTGGACCCTTAGAAATGGAGCTGAGAATGAACAGTTTCCACTCACTAGCATCGTTTACATCTGTCTGCAGGAGGAAGGACGTACTAAGACCTGGCTGCATGCTTGGCACGTACCCACTGTGCCAACTCCACCCGCAGCCAGGTCTGCCCTGACGGGACTCAGGAGTCTGCAGAGGGCTACGTCAGGTACATTCTTCTGTAGTGCAATCCTTAGAAATCCCAGAGATTAGTGCCTATCACTTTAGGAAAAAAGTAAAGCAAAACAAAGTTGACATTTTCCCTAACCCAGGGGTGTCAAGTCCATCTGGGGGACCCACTGGAGGACCTGGACCTGCAGTCTGATCAGGTCGCGCGTAGCTGCCCTGGAACTGTGTGAGCCTAGAAGGACCAGCGATGCGATGTTCTTTGGGAGACAGGAGGTCTCTGCACTGTAGCCAGGGTGGAGGTGGACAAGTCACCGACACGGGCACGGAGGTGCCCCGAGGCAAGTCCTGACATCAAGCTCCAATCTAGGATTTTGGCAATAAAATTGGGTTTGATGCACTTCTACACTAGATTTTCTATCCAGTCTAGTAAAGTAAAGCACCTTTGGATTAAAAATATTAAGCTCAACAGCAACTAGACGTCTCAGTTTTGTATTTAACTTTTCTTATGTCTCCATGGCTTAATAATGTTCTGTTGCCAGAGAAAAATATCAGTCTGTGGAGTCCAGACTTTCTGCTGGAGGGGCATATTTCAACCTAAAAGTACCTGGAGAGAAAGAAAAAAGAGGCAAATTTGAATCACTGCAAAATCACAAGACCACCGACCTGTGCCGTGGCCTCCGGAGTCTCCAGGCAGGACTCTGGGGCTGGAGATGTGGACAGCCTGACCAGCCTCTCCCACCCCCCCAACACAATGAAGTCGTTTCACAAGTCTTCAGACCCACCCAGGGACAGAGGGGCTAGAGAAAATGGGGAGGCCCGGCCAGCTGGGCATGCCTTAGGAGATCCCCGAGGTGGGGGTGGTGCACAGGATGCAGGTGCAGAGCCCACGGCCACCGCCCAGCCTGTGACTGGACCTCCCAGGTTACAGGTGCTGGTTTCTGAAAGCTCTCTGGGTGGTGAGGACAAACAGGCAGGTCTGTGCAACCTCAAAAGAAGGTGCTGGAAATCTAGAGAGATGGTGACTTCTCAAGGTCGCACCTCATGGTCAGAGCTGGGACCAGCTTTCCCAGTCCCCAGGTCAACCCTTCCAAAACACATAGCAAGAATAAACCTGGTGTAAAGAGTACGTCAGACCCACGTGAAATCAAGGACTAGAGGAAATTAGGAACACAAAAGCAAGGCAGGCAAGAGGGACAGCCTGGCGAGACACCACCCGCCACCAGCACACAGCCACACCCCAGGCGCAGACAGCAGGGCGGCAGGGCCCCTGGGTCTAGACTGCCACGTCCTAACCACTCCCACGGCAAGACCCAGAGCCCACAGGGCCCCAGATATGAGGAAACACTCAGAGCCAGGATACCCCTCTGGGGCACTTACAGCATCATTTACATCTTCATGCTGTTTCAAAAAGGTTTTAAAAATTACTTTCAGCTCTAAGACAAAGAAGTTTAATCCAGGGGCAGTGGCAAATGCCTGTGATCCCAGCAACTGGGAAGCCTGAGGGAGGCGGATCACAAGTGCCAGGCCAGCCTGGGCGACTTAACAAGACTGTTTCGAAATAAAAAGAATAAAATGAACAGGGCTGAGGACGTGGCTCAGTGACACAGCGCTTAGGTTCCCTCTCTAGTACCACACACAGAGACACAAATAAATAAAACTAAAAAGAAGAGAGGTGACTATTATTTTCATAAAGCCGAGCACGTGCGTCTCTCCAGTGGTCTGCAGCACCTGCCGGCCGCGGGCAGTGGCTTGCCCTGGGATGCCCAGCTGGGTGCAGTGCCCAGGGGGCACGTGTGTTTACCTTGCCGGTTGAAGTCCATGGACGGCTGCTTGCAGTCCTGGGCGCGGTGCCCTGTGGCCCCGCAGTTGTAACAGGACAGATTCCCACTCTTTTTGTGACTGGAGCCGTTGCTGCTTCCCACCAGTCCCTGGGTCTGGTAGACCCCTGCTGTCCCGGCCATGAAGTTCTGCATTGGTGGCACAGCAAATGTGGACTGCCCGCCCAGGACAGGGTCGGGAGTCACGCTGCCGCTGTAGGGGGCGTGCACAACAGGGAAGGTGGAGCCGCCCCCGTACTGCTGGGGGCTGACGTAGCCATTGCTGCACACGGGGCTGAAGGGCAGGAACGGGAAGGTGAACATGGAGGGCCCGGAGAAGGGGTGCTGGAAGTAGCTGGCGTAGCTCACGGTGAGGCCGCTGGAGCCGCAGCTGCCGCTACACCCGCAGGACGTGCACACCATGCAGCCGGGTGGGGGCGGCGCGGGGGCCGGGGGGGCCGGGGGCTGCTGATGGTGGTGGTGGTGGTGGTGACTCTGACTTGAGGAAGGAATGTTTCCTGCAGAGCCACCACCACTGTAGAAGCTGCTCTCAGGGGCGGAGGAGAGCGCGGGGCTGGAGCTGGGGGCGGGACAGCTGGGCAGCGTGGCCGCGCTGGCGAAGGAGGTGGAGGGGTGGCTGCTGGAGGAGGCAGTGTTGCTGTTGGCACAGAAGCCGCCCTGCAGAGGGCCCACGGGCACACTGCTCACTGCGGAGAAGGCAACTTTGGTGTTGGCTGTGTACAGAGCGGTCCGGGGGTTGATTATTGCAGGCGGCACGCTGATCTGCACGTTGTTGGGGCAGGACGTCTGCCCGGAGACAGCAGCGTCGGCAGGGACGGAGGATGACAGCAGCAGCTTGATGGGCGGCCGGGCCACGTGCAGGACAGTGCTGGGCGTCCCTGTGGCAGCTGTGCTGGTCTCCACTGCCAGTGCTGGCTGCTGCGCCGTCTTCAGCACCCTGTCCAGAGTGGCTGCGTGCACAACTTTGGCCCGGGGCCCAAAGGAGACAGTGGGTGACACGGAGCTGCCCTCTGAGAGTCCGGAGAGGACCTGCACGGGCGGATGGGGTGTGGACGAGGGCAGGGTGTCGAGCACAGCACTGCCGAAGCTCTTGTCCACTTTAATGCCACTCCTCGGGCCAGGCCCTTTGCCCCTCTCTTCCAAAGACAAGAGCGAGTGCACGGAGGACGAGAGGAGCTTCCCGTCAGCGCCCCCTCTGTCCGATTTGTGCACTGCACTCAGCATTCTGATGGGTGCCAGGTGCGAGGCTGTGGGTAACAGCTGTGGGGGCAGAGGGTGGTGGCCTGCCGGGCCGCAGCCAGCCTCGTTTTGCACAGGCAAGACCTGGGCCGTGGGTCGGGCAGAGCTCGAGGGGAAGTGACTCAGCAGCATCACGGGCTTCTCCTTATCAGAACCCTCTAAGTGCACGTCCACACCTGGGGATAGAAAAGAGCAGTCACCGCCATGCGAGCCAGGACAGGGCGGGCAGCACAGCTGGTCAAGCGGGTGCCTTACGTCTGTCGGTCTCCTCCGCGCTGTCTGAGCTCTCTTCCCGCGCCTGCACACCCATGGGGCTGGAGGAGGAGCTCGAGTACTCCGAGGAGCTGCCCTCCCGGGGCATCTGGTGGGTGGGCGGCTCCACCTCCACCCGCAGCTCTGCGGAGAAGGCACAGGTCACCTTCAGGGTGGCATCCATGTCCAGCACAGGGGGCTGGCAGGGTACCAGCCAGCACCAGCCCACTCTCAGCCACCACCCGGAGGTGAGCCCTTTGGGCACACCCAAGAAGGCAGGGACAACTGCCACCACAGTCGGAGCCTCCCCCTCCCACCTGCCCACGGCCTTGTGGGGAGGTGGGCAGCACTTAGGGCGGTGCCCTGCTCCCCACAGACCACGGAAACATGTCTGCAGGGCTGGGTGCTGCTGGCCTCCACAGAAGACCAGGCTGAGCAGCGGGGAACAGACCTGGCACCTGCCCTTCCCTCAGGCTACTCTTGCTACTTGTACTGGGAGAAGGAGAATCTACTCCACCCTGTGACAAAGAGCCACCGCACAGGTGTCCCAGCCTTTCCCAAAGAGGGAGGGAAAGGAGCACGGCTGGGGGGCTGGCTCCTGTGGTCACGTGAAGACGGCCCCAGGCAGGTTCATCCTGGCCACCTCCCGAGCTCCTGTCAGCTTCTACCCACACGGTTTCAGGCAAGTCCCCATGAGCCTCCCTCCTGTCGTTCCTGGTCCCCATGGAAGTCAAACAGAGAAAGGCTGGCCTGTCTTCAGTGGTGGGCAAGCGTGGCGGGAGGCACCCCGCCACCTGCACATCAAGGGCGGCCCAGCCGTGAGCCCTCCGCACCTGCAGCATGGCCACCTCGCCCGGCCTGCACGGGCCCCACGTGGCTGGTGGGGGGCACTCGGGCCACTCCGCTGCTGGTGACCAAGGCCGGGGCCGAAGAGTTCAGGCACCGCCGCTCCGACTTCTCCCTGCAGAACAAGGTACAGGAATAGTGAGTGTCCATTTGGGTTCCTGGTTCCCACACTACCCTCGGACCTCTGCTCCGTGAGACCCACGCCGAAGGCTGAAAGGGATTCTGATTTTCCTGCCATGCCAAGGCCACACCTTGGCATGTGGTCACCTGAAGACGGCCCCGGGCAGGTTCATCAATTTTATTGTTTTTTTAATGAATTCATTACCATTATCATCACATTATTAAAATATATACTATTATCATTATTGTGCTTTCTTTTGTTTTTGCAGGACTGGGGATTGAACCTAAGTGCTATATCCCAATCCTTTTTATTTTTTATTCTGAGACAGGGCCTTGCTAAGTTGCCCAGGCTGGCCTTGAACTTGCAGGCCTCCTGCCTCAGCCTCCCGAGTCACTGAAGACATGTTTAGAAAACCACCTCACGCTTACTTTTCGAGCTCCAGCTGAGTCTTGAGCTTCTTCTTGGCGCCCATGGTCAGGGACTCAAACTTGTTGAGGTCTTCCTCAGTAAGGCTCAAAAACTTGCATGGGAGAAACCAATTACAGAGTTACCGAGACTCGGAACCGGAAACCAAGGACTCGGGGCTGAAAGTGACATGGCCGGGGCCTATTGACACATCAAGCCTATGCCATTAACAGAGGACTTGGGGACAGGACATCGTCCCCTCACTAAGTGACCTGGTGTGAACCATCCACTATTCCACGCACCTTTTCAGCAGAGACCTGGGCTTCTGCTTACCTCCCGCACAGATGCTGCGTGAGGGGCACCTCTGCTCGGCACAGGCCAGTCACCAGCATGGGTGAGCTACGTGGACAAATGACTGGAGAAGTCACAGTCCCACCTGCTACAGAGCTGCCCCTGGCAGCAGCACCCCACCCCCCGGGACAGCCCTAGGGAGACACGGTCCCCTGGGCACATGCCAGCCTCTGTGGCGGGGGCACCAGCATAGGCAGACGGTCCTCCCTCAAGGGCACCTTCCCCTCTGCAGGGTCGCAGGGGCCGTCCACGGGGCAGCAGGTACTCTAGCTCTCACCTCGCACCACAACCTGCTCTGCAATCTAGCCATTTCAACCCACAGGCTCAATGAGAAAAACTTAAAACTGATCAGTCATCTCTCTTTTGGGCGGGGACTGAATCAGGGGTGCGGTACTACTGAGTTACATCCTCAGTCCTTTTTATGTTTTTTTGAGACAGGGCCTTGATAAGTTGTCCAGCCTGGCCTTGAATTTGTGATCCTCCTACCTCAGCCTCCCAACTGGCTCAAATTACAGGGCTGTACCACCACCCCCAGGTCATAGGACCTCATTTTTAAGACATTTATAAATCCAAAACAGAGTATTACAAATATACTTAAAACTTGATTTTGCTTTGTAGTAAAAACTTGATTTCTAGGTTCAATAGCTGGGTTTTGGACACATGAAACTTGCAGCTACCAACCTGTCCTGTCCAACGGGGGGAGTTCAGAGTCCAGATACCTTGTATGGGTTAATTTAATCAGTGGCATGCAGACTAGAAACACTTCAGAATCTTTAACAAGGGAACAATGCTCCTGATCCACTGCTCTATTATAAAAACCAATCCTGTGAATATGCCTCAAAGAAGCTGCATCCACTGCTCGAGGCCTGCCCCATTTCAGTGGCTGGGCTGAGGGCACGGGCTACACAGGATGTGGACAGATGAGGGTGGTGCATACGGTCCACAGCGGGGCTCTGCATGGGGCCACGCTGGTCTCAGGTGCGGTGGGTGGATCCCTGGAACTACATATGCAGCGACCTGCCTGTTCACAACAGATCCGGGCCACGTGATCTCTACCTTAGTCCTTCCTCTCCACATGACCTCCAGGGGCAAGGTCAGGATACAGGCAGCTAAAGGAGCACTGACCACACGGGCACAGCCCACACGGGAGCCTGCGTACCTTCTCCATGGTGAGCTGCTTAAAGACAGGGTAATACTTGTGTAAGCGCAGCTTCCTAAGCCAGTCTAAAATTCCATTTTGCTCCTGGGGCTGAGGGGCCTGCAGACTGGAGGGCATCAGAATGGCAGGCGGGGCGTCCACCTGGGCCCGGTAGGCGAGTGCCGAGCCCGCGCCCCCGGCGTGGGAGCAGTGAGGCAAGGCAGCAGCTGCGCTGGCCGAGTGCTGCAGATGGTGCTGGGCGCCGCTCTGGGAGGACGGGATTCCGGCCACTCCACACACAGGCCTGCAGGACAGGGGACAGGCAGGGGCACAGAAACACTGTTTTCCAAGACTTCAGGTACTCTCCTGATGGCCCCCACTCCTGCCCGGCACACGCTGTCCGCCTACCATAAACTCTGGAAATACCAGCGCCCTCTCTAGCCCCCACCTCAACCACCTGCTTATGGTGAGACTGCTACGGGGTGCCCTGTGTGCAACAGAAACACGTGCACCCACATACCTGTGTGCACCCACATACCTATGTGCATGCACATTGTGTACATGTCCATCACCAACGACCTCTGGTTGGGATGCCTAGTTTGTTAGTCAAAAATAACAAGAAGGTACTGATAGACCTAAACCCACACTGACTACCCAGCACTTTGAGGACATCATGAATCACACCACCTCTACCCTAGTCCTCGCGACGTCGTTCAAGACTCAGACTGAGAAGGACCTCACTCTGAAACTGCTGGCACAGTTAGAGCCAGAGCAGGTGTGAGGTGGGGTGGCTGTCCCCGCTCACCTGCCAGACACTCCCATCACAGCACCCACTTTCGGAAGGGAGGGGTTGCCAGGACCTGCAAGTTAGAAAAAGACGTGTCGGAGAAATTCAGACAACGGGAATGTTTATGTTTTTCTGAATCATTTTACAAACTCACTTGGACTTTGAAGCTGTTGGGTGGGAGATGAAGTGCTGAAGAACTTCTTAACGTGGTCATTTTTCAATACATGAGAAGGCAATGAAGCCAAATACCTACAAGTTAAGCAAAGGGGCTTTATCATCAAAAAGGCACTAACGGTCACTACTGGGGGACGGTCTTAACTTTCAATCAAGAAAAATAGATATTTGAGAAAAAATAAGCAGCAGGTCATAACCCACATCCAGCCTGCTGTCGGGAGTCTTCCTCGCTAGGCCTGCGACGTGAGCAATGAAAGCAAGCCTCCACCCACTGCCCCCTGTGTGTGGCCAGGTCACAGGACATGAGGATGGCGGCCCGGGAAGCAGGACAGCAGCTCCTTGCACAGCACAGAACCCACGTGACGGGCGGCGTGCACTGAGTGGCCGCACACGCACGACATTCAGAGGCTCTCAAAGGCATAGTAAGGGGTGGTGCAGGCTTCAAAATCCCTTCACTCATCCACTCAAAGTCTCCCAGAGGCTGTTCAGAGCCTTCAAAGACTGAGGAGAATCCTGCAGGCAGCGGAGACCCACCTGGGGGCAGCCGCGTGGCCAACGGCTTGCCCAGGCCCCCAAAAGACCTAGCCAGGAGCCTCACCCACCTCAGGCCCGCTTCCAGATCCACGTGGTTCCTCTCCACGTAGAAGGGGTCTGATCCAGCCAGGCAGGGAATGAGTTTCTCCAAGTTCTCTTCAGGGCAGAGCTGAGACAACTGAAACAGAGGACAGGCCAGGAGGGACATCAGAACCAGCCACACACGAGAGCTCCACCCAACAAGCGCTCGGGCAGGGGCCAGTGGTCCTCTGCTGGCAAGACAGGACTGACACCAGTCAAGCCATTTTGGCATCCTCCATGCACTTACGGAGCAGAAAGACACTGCAGGACATCCCCAGCCCACAGAGCCTGACAGTCCCCTGGCCCTTCCTTTCCAGGAGCCCTGCAGAGGCTGGGAAGCAGGATCACCTGCTGGATCCAGGGTCACACAGGGACCACCCCTCAGGAAAAACAGGACCCTCAAGCCATCGTCTCCCAGTGGCCCAGCATGAGGAAGAGGGGCTGCCACACAGGCAGAACAGAGGAAGACGGCCGCGATGGCACATTCCCCCAGTTGAGCAGGTCACATGTGGGTGGACAGACCCCAAGCAGGAGAGCATCCTCATTTAGGAGCTCTCTTCCAAAGAGGCTGGCGACGCACAGACCAGACCTCTGCGCCTCCCCTGGCCTCTCTGTCCAAGGCAAGAGCCCTTAACCACAAGGGAGGGAAGAAGTGCTCCTGGCCCGGGGCCAAGCACGCATCTAGCCTCTGGGCTGAGATGAGGAAATGAGCTCTTGCCTCTGTCACCAGGCCACAGGGAAGGGCCACTGCCCTGGAAGAAGGGTAAAAGCAAACGCCCTCCGGCCCTGGTGGAGGGGTACGAATCTCCCACCAGCCCAGGACCCTGCCCCACACAGGGCAGCAGCTACTGGTGGGGAGAGACGAGGGTGCTGAGGAGGGCGTGACCCCGCGGTCCAGTACAAAGGCCCACACCCGGAACCGAGGCTGGGCTGCGGAAGAGGGCCCTCCCCCCACAGGCCCCACAGGTGACAACAGCTGAGGGTGGAGCAGGCCAGGTAAGTGGCCCTGTGCTGGAGCTGCCCAAGGGTGACCATGGTGACATCCCCAGGGCCAGCTCCTGAGGGCCTGGCAGGAAAGAAGGCCCATTGCAGGCACAAGTGCCACTTCCTCAGCCTCACACTTGCCACCAAAATGCCCAGTGACCAGAGGTGCAGGGCACAGGGGAAAGCCAAGGGGCTAAAATCAAGACAGAGCTGGCCAGGTGTGGCGGCCACCCTGTGATCCAGCTGAGACCGAGGCAGGAGGATGAGAGTTCAAGGCCAGCCTCAGCAACTTAGTGAGACCCTGTCTCAAAACAAAATCTAGAAAAGACGAGGACGCGGCTCAGTGGCAGAGCAGCCCTGGTGCAGCCCAGCACCAAACACTGAATAGGAGACACAAAGCCATCACCAGGGCCAGACTCCAGGGGACCCAGACCAGACCCGAGCAGCCATGTGAGCATCCCACAGGACCGTGCCGAAACAGGGCGCCTTCCACAGAGGGCTGGGCCATGCCACAGACAAGCAGGCGAACAAACAGGACACGAGCCTGGCCCGAGAGGGGACACAAACCCAACAGGCTCCATGCAGCCAGGACAGGGTGAGGGACACTCAGCAGATGTCAGCACTGAGCACGAGAAACTGTCCAAACTGCAACCCGGAGCCAGCCCAGAGCAAGGACAGCAGAGGCCTGAGGAGGGGACAGGAGGCCCCCAGAGCCAAGGGAAGGTGCCGAGCAGGAACCTCTCAGAGCACGTTGGAGGCGGTGCAAACACCCCGCGACCAGCCAACGGTCAAGGGACAGAAGTGACTACAGAGGAGTGTCTGCTGCACAGTGGGGAGCGGGGCACAGGGCACAGGGGAGGAGACGCAGGGTAACGTGCGTTCCCGGGGATGGATCTGGACCTGCGTTCCTGCTGCCTGGTGGGCCGCCAAACAAGCACCAGCAGCATCTCCCACTCCGGCAGTGAGGGCGTGGTCCACGACCCAGTGTCCTCCCCAGGGATGGGCCTTGCTTTCACAATGGAAGTGCAAGAGCCACTTCGGAAATGCCCTGGATGTGCCACCCATTGTTGAAAGGGAGCAGAGGGTAGGTCTGACACTGGCCCAGGCAGGGGTCACCACCGTGGCCCTGGCCAGTGCCAGAGAGCGCGCTGCAGCACATGTGTGTGCAGGCCCAAGGCGTCTGTTAGCAGTGATGCTTTCTGCTCAAAAGTCACTTGTTGAAACAATTTAAAAATGAAAAGGGAGAACCCCATGTGTAAAAGTCAGAATGAGGGGCATCTGTCTGCTCAGCCCCTGAGCAGGACCCTTGCCCTCAGTCTGTGCCCAAGAAACCTGGGTGGAAAGCAGAAGCGCCCCAGCCGCCATGCCAGGGGCAGCTCCGCCTGTCTCCCCAGCGCCAGGGCTCACTGCTGCAGCCTGTCCAAAGCAGACCCCCGACTGCTGCTCACAGGATAGAAGGAGACCCCACAGTCACGCTGCAGGATGCGCAGCTATTGGGAAAGGAGCCCTTTGTTATAGGAGCCTGAATCACCTTACCTTTGAAATAAATTCAGTCACTTCTGAGGAAGATTTGGTTACTGATGTTACTGAAGAATCAGACCACAAGACCTTAAAAACAAACAAACAAACAAACCTTAAAAACAGACGTCACATCCTCAGTTCACGGCACACATGACCAGGTGTTGATGGTGGCACAGGGTTAGCAAGCACCTGGGGAAAATGGAGCATGCAGGCCTGCTCCCCTGGCCACCAAGAGGAGCGTCACACGACTCGCCCCCAAGCTTAGCATCCTGCTTTATGCAATATTCAAAAGCCACCACAGGGTGCCAGCCCGGGCCTCAGCCTGCTCTGCCCACAGCAGGCACGCTTCCTCCAGGGGCCTCCACGTTACACTGGGTGCACAATCAGCAATTTCCCAGAACTCGGCCCTTCACCTAAAAGCAAGCATCCGGGCTGCAGCAGGTGCTGTAGACACAGGGACACCATGAGTCCATTGGGTCACTGGCAGAACCACGGGGGTCACATGTAAGTACATCCATGACTCCAGGACTCCATGAAGGGGGGGCAGTACAGGGACGGGGACAAGTCAATTTGGAGAGTCAAGTGGGAAGACCCAAAAGAGCTAGCTGGCAGAAGGTCTGTGTGCCCAGTGGCCAAATGTCTATCCTGAGTGCCTTCTTCCTGCCCAGCCCATGGCCCATGGCCAGCCTGAACACAGAGCCCCAGGGAGCTCCTGTCATGGTCTGGTGGCTCGTGTCATCCCAGGTGAGACCAGTGCAGCTGGCTTGGGTACCACTAGACCTGAATGAGGGGCACTTCACAGAGAGCAGCCCGAGCTGACATGCTGACTTTGAGTGGCCACAGGGATCAGACAGACAGGGCAGCCTCGGGGAGACAGAGGTGGCCGAGAGTGAACACCACCAAATACAAACTTCACCAGGTCCAGAAGCACTGGAGGGCCCAGGCAGGCAATAAAACGACCCAGTGTTTCTCGTAAAATTGAGACACTGCATTTGCCCTAGTTCAGAGCAGAGAACTCAACTGTCACCCCACTGTCACCCTTCCGCCCAGCACCCGGAGCTGAGCCTTGCTGCCTGGCTGGGAGGGCCTGGAGGGCTTCTCCAGACCACGGGTCCCACCAATCTCTTCCCACCACATACGCCATCATGCAGTGCAGGAAAGGAAGGGCCCTGGGCCTCCCAGAGCACGCAGTCCCCACACATGCCCCAGCCTGCCTGCTGCCAGGCGTGCCCCCGGCTGATGCCCTGGAGGGAAGCTGGGCTTGCAGGCCCCACCCGCGAGCTCCCCAGCCCTCGAGCTGCGCTGCACCTGCGTACAGCAGGGCCAACACCTGTGCCCCTGGGAGGGGCTGGCAGAGCCCTGCTGCCCTGCTGGGGGGGCTGCAGTCAGACTCCTCCTCCTGCTCCCCACCCACCCACGCCACACGGAGGCAACAGCCAACACAGATGCGGTCCAACAGCCACACGACAAGGCTGGCACGGACGTTCATGTGTAAAGTGACAATTTGCTCCACACGTAACACTACTATTCTCAACGAGTGCCCAAGGTGGCCACAGAGGAAACCCAGCAGAGCATAGGGCACAGAAACCTACATCTGCAGGGGCGCTGCACAGCAGCCCACCACCCCGGGGCCACCTCGGCCCTGACGCTTGGCCCTGCTGCCCACTCAGCCCACAGCAATGAGGCGGGCAGCCCCAGGAGAGCCATAGAGGCGAGAGACGCATGCCACATCAGCTGACCTCTGTCACCCAGCCCAAGACCCACCGACCACTGGCCACAGGGCTCCCCGCTGCCTCCTGAGAACCAGAGTGCAGACTGACACGATGGGAGGTCACCCGACACACGGACACGCCTGGGCTCCGTCACACACAGGGCCTCGCTCTCCTGTGTCACTTCCCCACACAGCACCACCCTCTGGAGCCCCATTCTGCACCAGCAAAAGGCCAGCCAGATGCCCCGGGGGTGCCCTGGTCACAGGCCCTGTCTACAGCTCACACTGAAGCCCTGGGAGAGCAGGCGGCCCAGGGCCCCGACTGTCCCCAGTCCCAAGGGAAGGGTGAGGCTGACCAACAGAACTAAGCACCTGGAGAAGGCAGACCCTCTTCTCTTGTGAAAAGCACAAAACACCCTTCACGTTCTCAGAGCCACAGGACCAGGAACGGGAGGCTGGGAGCGAAGGGCAGTAAGGGCCTGTTTGGTTCTGTCTCTTGTACCAGGGCCTGAACCCAGGAGCTCTTGGCCACTGACACATCCCCAGCTGGGTTTTTAGTTTTGAATTTTGAGACAGGGTCTTGCTAAGTTGCTTAGGACCTTGCTAAGTTGTTGAGGCTGACTTCAAACTCACGGTCCTCCTGCCTCAGCCTCCTGAGCTGCTGGGATCACAGGCGGGTGCACCACTGTGCCTGGCTGAGCCAAGAGTTTTCTGAAATGAAACCCAGGGCAGCAGAAGGGATGGAGATGAGGTGATTCTCCTCACAACAGAGCACAAGACCCCAGAGACCCCAGACAGACAGGGCAGCCTCAGGGAGACAGAGGGAATGTGGGGGGCCACACACAGACAGCAGGAATTCCAAGCAGGCCAGCAAAGGAGAAGAGAAAGACCAGAAGTCACTAAGGGAAGGTCTCCACGTATGGACCCAAGTCTCAGGCTAAGAGCCCGACAGGATGTATGGGGCAGACCTGCACCAAAGCTCACCTCCCGGAAACGCACCCCTAGGACTAGAGGATCCCAGAACCTCCAGAGTATACAGAAGTGGCCATGCTCGGCCCAGGGCAGGAGCCAGAACAGACGCTTCTCCACGGCAACCCCGCAAGGCAACCAGCAGCAGAGAGCAGAGCTCCAGCTTCCTGTAGATGATGGCGGCCAGCCTCAAGTCCATTACCAAGCGTCAGGCTGGACATGCAAGGAGCGCTCCAACAGGAAGTCTCACAAAAGGGTCTTACCCCTAAGTGCCCTTCCCAGACACCACCAGAGCCCTCCCAAAACACAGACCAATCTCAGAGATCCAGGGTCAGGGAGAGCAGGCTCCTGGGACAGAGCTGCGGACGCTCTCAAGCCGCGGCTTGCCTCTAGAAGCACCTGCACCTGGACTGAAGAGGAGCCGCAGGAGGCCAGGCAGCTGTGGCGGGCGGGCGGGCAGGCGGGCGGTGCTGCGGGCCTCCTCACTAACAAAACCCCAGGCAGCCTTGACCCCAAAGCAGCACGGGGCCCTGTGAGAAAGCAAGAGGAGTGGCCCAGGCCTGACCAGAAGACCCTCACGGCCATCCACATGTCGGCCATCCAGATGTCGTCCAGCCATCAAGGCAACATCAAAGCCAACATCTAAACCACACACGCGCACACACACACACACACACGCACACACACACACACACACGCGCGCGCACACACACACACACGCACACACACGCGCATGCACAGTCTGATATAAAACAAAAACTCAATCACAAAAATAGCTGTCAAGACTCATCCTCTGCTGCTAGGATAAGACATTCAGGAAGTTAACGCTTTGAGATGCAAAATGGACTTTTAAGGTGCTCTCCTACTGAGCTTCCTCCAGCCCCTCTTATTTACTTGTCTATTCTTATGTGGTGCTGAGGGTTGGACCCAGCGACCCCCGCCCGCCTCCAGTGCCAGGTGAGGACTCCACCTCTGAGCCACAGCCCAGCCCCACCTCCAGCCCTTGTTGTTTTAAGGCAGGGTCTGGCCAGGTTGCTGAGGCTGGCCTGGAACTCGTGATCCTCCTGCCCAGCCTCCTGAACAGCTGGGGTCACGGGTGCACCTCCGCACCCAGGGCTCTCCTTCCTAAAGTGATCAGTGACGATTCCTTCAAGTCAAAGCAGCTCCTCAGGCACCACAGGTGTCTCAGACGCTGGGACCCTTCTGCGTCTTTCTCCCTTTTCATCACGTACAGCAAGTGAAGTTTCTCTTGGACGGTTTCAGCTATTCCATTATTTTTTCTTACGGTACTAGGCATCGAACCCAGGGCCCCACACAGACCAGGCGAGCGCTCTTCCACTGAGCCGCACCCCCAGCCTGGCTGAGCGATGTCATTTCCTTAATGGTGAATCTGGACAAGGTGGTAGCACGTAGTCACTTCACATGTGCACAGTTACGAATTTCATATTCAAAATATTCCATTATTCACTTTTTGCCCGCAGACTGGTTTCCTAAAGTAACTGTCAATACAGCGTCACAGGACAAAACCAACCCTGTGGGACAGGAGGAGAGAGCCCATTCCCACGAGAGGCAGACACGTGTATCTTGAGGTGACCCAAATCCATTGCTGACACCTTCCCCCGCAACAGAACCTCTTCCTGTGTGCCATTGACAAAGCCATGGGGCTGGCCGGGGACACTGCCGGGGGCAGCGAAGATTCTCCAAGAGGAAGGTGCTTCCAACCCCACTGGACTTAGCCAAGGCCGCCACCCTGAGCTCCTGGTGGTCGGCTCCCAGGTGACACTCTTCGTCCATTCACAGCACGGCTCCTTGACGCGACAAGCTGCTTACCTTCCATGAGAGTCCCGTGGGCTGCAGGGAAACCCCGACTCTTCAACAGTTCTGAGAGCATGTAGCTAGTAGCACACGACCCCAGCCGCTCAGGAGGCTGACCCCAGGCCGGCAGTACAAGGGCAGCCTCTGCCACTCAGCGAGACCCTGCCTCAAAGTTTAAACAAGGGTTGAGGTGTGGCTCAGAGAGAAGGGGCTTGCCGAGCATGTGCAAACCCTGGGTTCCATTCCTGGTGGCACCCCAAAAAAAGGAAAGACAAAGTTCCAAGCTAGAGTTGACAGTGAATACCACAGGTGAGGTGTGCCACCTGCATTTTATCAGGGGCCACTCGCAAAGCCACCCACGCCAACAGTTAGCAGACCATTCCTGGAGGCCTCCCAGTCCTTCCCCAGGAAACCCAAGCCCTCTGATGGCCGAGACAGGCCTGCCTTCTCCGGGATCCTGTGGGGACACTCCTGCGTGGCTCCCACCGCACACCCTGCTCAGAAGTTGTATCCTACTTGGTTGGTTCCACACCGTGACAACTCACTGGCACTGCTGACTGCTCAGCAGCTCATGCCTGTGTGTGGCGGAGAACACTCCACGTGGGGACAGAATGCGACATCTGCTTGTCCGTTTCCTGGAGACAGTCAGGGTGCTGCTCACAGCTGGTCCTGGGTGCCACGCAGAGCTGTGACGCGGGCTGAGCCTGTGTGGAGCTGGCACTCACGCTGTGTGTCTGTGGCTTTTTTTGCAGGGCTGGAGCTCAAAGGCAGGCCTTGTGCCCGCCAGGCCAGTGCCCCGTCACTGAGCTGCACCCAGACCTTCCACTTTTTAAAGAAGCCGCCAAGCTGCTTCCCACAGTGCCCACAGCCAGACTCTTCCCCCTGGTCCTTCCAACAGCCAGGGACGCCCTCTGGTTCTGACAGCACTTGCAGTCGGTCGGCGCCCGCCGTCTGACCGCTGTTCCCGCCGCCTCCTGCACGCGGTTCTCATCTTTTGTCCATTTTGTCTCACCGTTGCGTTCCGGGGCTCTTTGTATGTTCCGAATGCCACCTTCATGGGACCTGGGAGGCGCCTGTCCTTTCGTCCTCTTCCTGCATCACACATCTGTGCTGAGAAAATGTCTCCTGGTTGGTGTCACGAGGTTCCTGTGCCTGCCTCTTGAAGCTGCGGGGCTCAGGGCCCAGGGGGAGGTGGAGGTCGGGCTGCGTCCCACCCCACCTTCCTGTGCCAGCGGCTCTCACGGGTCAGACCTGAAGGCCTTCCTGGACCTTCCCGGGGGCCTGGCCCTGCGCCTGGCCCCTGGCAGTCTCCAGAGGCCCAAGGCAGGGTGCTGCAGCTGCACCAGCAGGCAGCATGGACCTCCAGCTGCGCCTTCTGGTCACGAGTACTGACTACGCCAGCTCTGCACACAGCTCTCCTTTTTCTTTGGCACTGGGGACTGAACCCAGGAACATGCTACCACTGAGCCACACCCCCAGCCCTCTTTTATACTTTATTTAGAGAGAGAGTTGCTTAGCACCTCCTTATTGCTGAGGCTGGCTTTGAACTCAGGATCCTCCTGCCTCAGCCTCCTGATCTGCTGGGATGACAGGCGTGGCCACCACCTGGCCCTTGAATTTTTATTTTGAGATAAGGTTTTGCTAAGTGCTCAGGATGGCCTTGAACCTGTGACGCCTGCCTCAGCCCCAGCCCCTGGGACCACAGGGGTGCTGCGCTGTGATGTGGTGGACACACAGCTTTTCAATCAACTTGTTCATCACTAACACAGAACAACCCCACTGGGATGTTTTTGGGTTTTTTTTTGTGGGGGGGGTTGCATCAGACCAGAGGAAGCTGAGTGGGGGGTGTCGGGCCATCTTCTTCACAGAGCCGTGGCCTCTGACCACTGGGGGCTCTGGTGACCAGGGGAGATGCTGGAGGTCAGCAGCAGGCGTCCAACTCTTCTGTGTGACAGGGGACTGCCCCTGAGACACATGAAGATGAAGGGGACACCATCAGTGTCCCCCTGGAGCACAGCGCTCCTTCCAACAGGACGGGACAGTGTGTGCCCTGTGAGTACGCCTCACCAACAGTGCAACAGTTGTCTGGGCTTGGCGCTGGGCACGGCCCCCCCTGGACTCCGGCACTCGTCCCAGACGTTTTCAGGTCTTGATGAAGACCCCCTTGCTGTGCGCCTCAGATCACTACCCACAGATGCAGCCTGGCTGTGCTCCCTGGGCAGCTGGAGGAAGCACTGCCCTCTGAGCACAGGGCAGAGGCTGCCAGGAGCCGCCGAGCCTGCTCCTCAAGTCCTCCTCTTCCGCTTAACCCTCTGGGCAGCAAAGTCTTTGGCCACCCACGGGGCAGCGTGGGAGCCACGAGGCGAGCACAAGCAAGTCTGCCCAGGCAGCGCACAGGCGTCCGGCAGGCGGGGATGGCGCAGGTGGGCAGCTCCTCTTCAGTCAGAAGCACCGGGAGGAGGTGGCAAGGGCCCCACCCTGTCACTGAAGCTCAAGTCTTCCCGGGAGAGGAAGAGGCACATTTGGTTCTCGACGTCCCCAGTTCTCATGCCACGTGGCCCACTTTCCTTGCCACAAATAACCATATCGTGGACTAGGGAAATCAAAGCCTGCCACGACCAGCCAGACGGAGAGGGTGAGCTGACTCTCCCGCGACCGCGTCCCACACCAGCCTGCTACACACAGTGCGCGCTGAGCCTGGCCGTGCATGCCCGAGGAGGACAGAAGCCAGGGGTGCCGCGTCCTGGACACCCAGGAGCCCAGGGCTCCCGCAGCCTGCTGGCCTGCACAACCCTGACACCCGGAACTCAGGGGCTCTGCTGGCCAAGGCTCAGTGCCACTGCCACAGCCAACAGCCTCCAAATCCTAAGGTCCCCCTGCATTTTCCAAGGACCCCTCTGTAGCAGAGGAACCAGGTCTCACAGTGCGGACCTCACCAGTCCCACGAGGATCCGTCCCAAGCAACAGCCTCAGGGTGTATGACACAGTCACAGTCCTTGAAACCCCCGTGAACTGCTTACAGTGCACACACGAGCACCAACACCGCCCTCACTCCTGAACACTCCATGGGCTGCAGGCAGGTCTCCCTGACCAGCTGGTCTCCTGAGACCTCACGCCCAGTAGGTAACAGAACCCGACAGCGGCACCATTCACCAAAACCTTCCCAGCCTCTTTCACAGCTGAAAAGGGCCAGCAGCTGCCTTCAGGAATAGTTCTCTCTCTCTCTCTCTGTACCAGGGATTGAACTCAGGGCCACTGGACCACTGGAGATGTCTGAGCCACAACCCAGCCCTATTCTGTACTTTATTTAGAGACAGGGTCTCACCCAGTTGCTCAGGCCTCGCTGTTGCTGAGGCTGGCTTTGAACTCGCGCTCCTCCTGCCTGATAGTTCTTAAAAGAAAGATTGAAAGGTGACCTTACTCCCCCTCTTCATGCTGCCTCTTGCTGCCCAAATGGACACCTGAGGCAGAGCTAAGGGGACACGGGAGGCTGAGACAGCTCACCAGGAGGCCGGGACCCTGGGCACTCTGAGAGCTGAGCCTCCACCTCATCACACTCTACAGCAGGTGCCCAGACTCAGACCCCGTCTGCCTCCAGCTCAGGTCCTTCATGTCCTCCGCCTGGAGCCAAGGCTATGCCCCAGAGGACAGAGCTTCCCACCCGACTGCTTGGGGCTGAGCATCGCCCTCCACTCCCCAGGGCCCAAGGTTCACAAGACAATGTCCTCTCTTTGCTGAGGGGAGGTGGGGGCACAGAAGTCCAGCTACTGTCCCCATCACACTGTGACAGAGGCAGTACGGCTCCAGAGCCCTGCCCGGTGCCCACCTGGGGGTCTGCGGTGAGGAGCCGACCACCAGCCCTGGGGATGCCCACCTGGTCACTCCCACCGCTTGGCCCACCTCACTCAGTGTTTGTTCTGGGCTTTTACTCAGGTAAGTGGGTGCCTGTTGGTGGCAAAGGTCTTGTTCCTATCCCTTGGAGGAGAGGGAAAAAACTTGGCATCTTACCTCAAAGGAACAGTCAACATTTCTGTCACTGTGTGTGTGTGACAATCCCTTCAGGTCTATCTTTTCAACACTCACTGCAAAAGTAAACAAACAGAACAAAAGCAGAATTACAAGGTGAAGAGAGCTCGAGGCGCAGCCCCGGTGGGCATCCCCGCGGTGGGCATCCCCGCGGTGGGCAGCTGGAGCCTGAGATCGCCAACAGGCCTCCCAGCGCCCTGAGGCAGAGGCCAGAGCACACCGGGAAAGGAAGAAGGGCAGGGAGCCTGGCCGCAGGCTGCGTCCCCCATCACCCGCCAGCCCCCAGCAGGGCCACCGCCCTGTCCACCCTGTCAGTCCCACCTCAGGAGAAGCAGGGTTCCACACCAGCCCAGGGGCTACTACCCCGTCCTCAGAGACAGCAGGGGGCGTGTCCAGGGGACCCAGCCATGGGGAGCTATCAACTTATCACTCTCTTGCTTCCTCCCTTTCCAAAGTTTGCTCTCCTCAAAAACAAAGCAATACCATTCTGTTATGAGCATCATTTCTTTCTTCTTTTTTGGGGGAGGGGGAATGTTTCAGGGATTGAATACAGGGGTGCTCTGCCACTGAGCTATATCCCCAGCCCCGCCACTGTTTTTTGAGACCCCCAGGGTCTCACTAAGTTGCTGAGGCTGGCCTCCAACTTGTGCTCCTCCTCTCTCGGCCTCCCAACTGCTTAGAATCGCAGGCATGGGCGTTCCCCGGTTTTGAGCACTACTTCCAGGGATCGTCTGCTCAAGACCCCAGGTGCTGGGGCTCCCACTCCCACCCTCCCCCCACGCCTCGTGCTTCTGCTGCAGACACTCCTGTTTCTCAAGCACCCTTCTGAGCTGGTGTTTCCTCGGCATGATAGTCAGAGAAGGCGACCCGCCCCCAGGCAGCTAGGAGAGACCACGCAGAGACAAGGCTGTGCCGAGCTTGAAGCCCCTTCCCATTAGCTTCTGCCACTGCCGGGCCACGCGGCAGGTGCTGCTCGGGAACCTACACCCCAGTGCTGGGGTAGTGAAGAAAGGAACCAGTGGCCTGGGGGTGCTCGTCCCTTCCTGCCTGCTTGTGGCAAGCCCCCGACTCAGCCCAGCTCTGCAGGGTGGTGTGCACTGTGGGACGCGCTGAGCTCAACACGGGCCCTGCAGGAAAGAGCTCCTCTGCACAGGAGAGCGCACCCCCCTCAACACAAGGCCACACCTGAGGGCTCCCCTGCCAGAGGGGCCCAGAGTCCTCACCTGACCCCGACCACCTCAGGGCACGGGCAGGCTGCAGCGGGGGTTTCCCCAGAGCACTGACGTCACCCTGACCAAGCTGTTCAGATCTCTGAGCACCAGGAACCACGTCAGTGAGCCTAAGACACGCAGCCGGCGTCTGTCCTGCCCTGAGCGCCAGCGCGTCCCCACGTGAGCAGAGGAGCCCACTCGGTGTTTGCCTGAAAAGAGGCATTTCAGCCCCAGCCAGAGGGCAGCGGGACCTGCTCCCTGGAGCCTGCAGGGGAGGCTGGCGGCCCACTGGTGGGGCAGGCTGGAAGCGCTCCACTTCAGAGCCGCGGAGGCACTTCCAGGGTGAGGCCGGGCTCCAGAGCGCTCGCCTTGCACACCAGCACCAGCACCACAAGGAAGAGAGGCAGGACGAAAAAGGCCATGGTAATCAAAACAAAAGGCAACGTGAAAAAACCCTTCTTAACTTAAAAAAGAAAAAAATCACAGGTGAGTAACATGAATACAATTCTGTTTAAAAGACAAGTGAGGGCTGAGGTTGTGGCTCAGTGGCACATGTGAGGCCTTGGGTTCGGAGCAAATAAACAAACAAGATAAGGATACTGCATCCTTGTACAGCTAAAAAATATTTTTAAAAGGGCAAATGAGTCAGGTGCGGTGCCGCACGCCTGTCATCCCAGCAGCTCCGGAGGCTGAGGCAGGAGGATGGTGAGTTCAAAGCCAGCCTCAGCAAAAGAGAAGCGCTAAGCAACTCAGTGAGACTGTCTCTAAATAAAAGCAGAATAGGGCTGGGGTGTGGCTCAGTGGTCAAGTGTCCTGGGTTCAATCCTCAGTACCAAAAAATCAAAAATGAGAAAATAAAAGTGCGCGAGTACTTTTATTTGAAACTCACGCCTCTCGCGCAGTCAGCACCCCACCTAAGAGCCTGCAGGCTAGCGTACTGACCAGGCCAAGCAGGTGGCCTGGGGCCAGTGCCTCAACTCTACCCTAGGCATGGCTCCGGGCATGCACCTCTCACTCCAGGGCCTGGGTCTGCCTGAGCTCTGGATCACTGGCCGCCCACACCTGCTGCTGGCCAGGCTCAGCTGCGCAGGGTTGTCACAGCCCGCCACCAGCAGACGGGGCGGCTGGGGCGAGCCAGCAAGAGCCCCGCGTAGCGGGTGCCCGTGTGCAGGCTGTGGGCACGGTGTGGCAGCTCTGACAACCCCAGGGATGCCCTCTGACTTATTCTGGTTTTCTTCCTTTCTTCAAATAACCAAGAAGGCCTGATCTTCAAGCCCCACCCCCAAGTCTCCACGCGCTCGTCCAACAGCAGGGTGAGGAGTGAAGAGCAGCCCCCGGTTTAACTGGTCGCAGCTGCACTTACTTTGTTTTTGTTTTTCTTTTTCTTATTTCTTTTGTTCCTGGGATTGAACCCAGTGAAGCTTAACCACTGAGCCACATCCCCAGCCCTTTCCATTTTTTATTTTGAGAATAAAATAAAAATCAGAATCTCCCTAAGTCACTCAGGGCCTCGCTAAGTTGCCCAGACTGATCTCATACCTGCAATTCTCCTGCCTCAGCTTTCTGAGCCCCTAGGATCACAGACACGCATCGCCACACCCTGCAAGCTTCACGTGTTTAAGTCCACAAAACAGCAGCCTCACGCTCAGGGCCGGAGCACACTGGATGAAATCCACAGCTTAGGCCTGGGGAGACCGCAGGGCTCCTCAGGAGATTGCGCTGAACACGCATCGAACACGGATTGCCCTAAAATTCAACTGAACGGCCTTTGTGGAGTGGGACAGTCACTCCTGCAGGCTCACAGCCCCACGCTCTGGTGGCCGGTGCCCACCCCTCACCTTGCTGTGCAGCCTACCACGGGGCAGCCTGCCTCAGCAGCTGTGCGTCCACCTGAAACGCTTGCAGGTGAACCAGAGCCACCCACAAACCGAGCTCAATCCGCCATGATGGAGGTGTCCCGGGTCACGGTCACCTCTGTAGGGTGAACCCCAGATCTGCATGGAGGCGAGGTCCGTGAGCACTGCAGGCTACTGTACTGTGCACCTGGATGCTGGCCACCGAGAGGAGCTGTGGTACAGGTGCCACGGGCAAGGCCTCGGTCAGGCTGACGAGCGCGGCTCTCTTCCGGGCAGTGGAGCACTCTGACGGCTGGACAGAGGGCAGGCCCTCGGCAACCCGGGGTTTGCAGGGGTGTCAGGGAGCGCAGACCAGGAGTATCCTGTGGTCACTGGCCACACCTGATGAGGCTCAGTGGACTGGGCCACCAGAAGCCTTCCCTGGGGCTGCACCCTGGGGCTGCCAGGTTCTCTTCTGAGCACCACCGCCCCTCCCCAGCCTGTGCACACGAGCACGGTGTCTGCGGCCCACCCCGCTGCCTTCCTCTCACAGTCACTGTTGTATTCTGATCAGTTCCACTAGATTCAAAACAGCAGAACAGAACGTCCCAATACACACCTGGGCCGCGAGTCCCCAGGGAAAAGCAGCCCCCAGCGGAGACCTGAGCGGGACTCATCTCACAAGCAGAGCTGAAGGAGGCCCAGCAGCTTCACTAGAGCTGCGGCACTGGCCCCAGAGCAAGCCCTCAACCCCAGGCTCAGCTCTCCCACCACCGGCAGCCCTGCCCGCCCACAGTCCATGGAGCACGGCTGTTGTGATGAAAGTCTTGTCCATCATCAGCCGGGTTCCCAGCAAAGGGGCCTGCCTGGGACGCCCTCCACAGCAAAGCTGGCCTTGCAGCACCGACCGACCGGCTCGAGCCCACCTCAGGGAAGCAGCGTCACCTCCACCTGAACTAAATCGGGCTGCTGGTGCTTTCCTCTTGCTTTATGGACAAACGTGTTTCAGAAACACCTAACTAAATGTGATCTGCAAACCCAGTGCCGGGCTGGGCTGTGGCTCCTTGGCAGAGCGCTTGTCTGCATGTGCGAGGCACTGGGTCCATTCTCAGCACCGCATATAAATAACTAAAACAAAGGCCTACTGACAATTTTTTAAAAAACTTTAAATAAAATTAATTAATAAATGTCATTATTAACTAATTTTATTTTGTTAAAAAAAAACAGTACTGGGCTAAGGTGAGCAGCAATGGAAGCCCCGGGAGCCCAGACACTGCGGGCTGGTGGGGTCCCCGGGCAGGTCCAGCACGGCCACTCCACCATGCTGGCGAGGCTCGCTGCTTTCCGCCATCCTCCCAGGGGCACTGTATGACCACAGCCTGGTCTTCTGGCCAAAAAGGGACTGCAAGTGCTGGGGCGGCAGCGGCCGGCGGGGTGCGAGTCCAAGCGCCTCACGCTCCAGGCAGGCCGCCTCCAGACCTGGACCTAGGGCCTGCCACAGGGAGGCCCAGGCTGCCCACCAGCAGCACTGCAGAAGCCTGGGACACGGCACCAGGGTCCACGGCCCGCCTGGTGTCAGAACAGTCAGATCCAAGCCACCGGATGGCTGCAGAGGGCGGAGCGCCACGTCTTCTGCAGGGCGTAAAGGAAAGCCAGCATCTCACGCCTTCACACTCGAGAAGAGCAACGGGATCCACCACTTAGGCGGCCAGAGGCTGGAACTACAGGTAGGACGCCCAGAACTATTATAAGGTGCCCAACAAGCAGGGCAAACACCTGGACGTGAGAACAGGCGGAAAGCCTCAAGACAGCAAGACCACAGGAAAATCGTAGAACTGGATTTTTTTCTTTAACTCGGATGGTGGTGGGAATAATGAGCAGCAAACAGACCAGATCCAGGACACATGCTAAAGGTGAAGGGGAGCAGGGCCCTCTCACTGCTGGAGAAGCTCATTTCCACCACGGGGAAGGGAGCCCAGGGTGGGCCTGAGGCCAAGGACTAGGTGGGAT